ATCTCAGGAATCCGATCTGATCCATTCCAATTCAGTTTGGAGTGAAATTATAGGATGTGCTCCTGGTTGAAGATTTTACCACTCAGGTTTGTCACAAGCAGCAGCGATGTTCAGAGATGTACTGAGTATCTCACCGTGGTAGGGAATGCAACTAAGAATTAGGTTGTTTTTGGGTGCCTGTGTGAATTCTCCAAAGACAGACATCCCAAAAGCACGTAGGCTATATCTGCGTGTTAAGCAGGTTGTGTGGACGGTTGCAAAGCAGTGCATTAAGAGAACTGGCGCCATTTTGAACATATGCGAATCTCAGATTCCTCGGAAGACGTAGTAAATTTCTCAGACCATGTCCTTGGATAGGGTGTTTCCTGATTCTATTGGCAGAGGAGGTGCTGATTTCCTGGGCAAGCAAGCATTGCATCATAGAACCCACAGCCTGGCCCTTTCTTTTTTAGCTAGATGAGAAAGTGTTTATATATATATATATATATATATATATATATATATATATATATATATATATGTCTTTGGTTGTTCGGGTTTATATATATATTCGAGAATATATATATTCTCCAGGGTGATCTGTCCCCAATCTAGTCTTTCTAGGCTATATACACACATACGTGAGGGGTCCTTGGTGCTCTCTGAGCTTGGTTGTTTTGTTGCAGATGTTTCGTGACCCAACTAGGTAACAACAGTGCTAGAAGAGAGTGGGGTTTGTGGAGAGGAGGAGGAGGAGGATGACGATGACTGTGGGGCCCTTGGTGCTCTCCGAACTGGGCGGTTTTCTTGCAGACATTTCATGACCCAACTAGGTAACATCCTCAATTTATATTTTACTGGCTTGCCCTGTCTATATTGGTGGGAGTGGTCTTGGATGTTCTTTGGTTGGGCTGTTTACTGTAGACTTGTTTGGCAGTCCCTTGATTGGTAATGAATAATAACAACAACAACAACAATAAAGTTGGAAGGGACCTTGGAGGTCATCTAGTCCAACCCCCTGCTCAGGCAGGAAACCCTAGTCCATTTCGGACAAATGGTTGTCCAGTCTCTTCTTAAAAACTTCCAGTGTTGGAGCATTCACCGCTTCTGGAGTAAACAGCCTAACCAAAGAACCATCAAGACCAGTGGTTCTCAACCTTTCTAATGCCGTGACCCCATAATACAGTTCCCCATGTTGTGGTGACCCCCAAGTGGGTGTGGCCACCAATAAGAGGGAGTAGGACAGCTAGGGAAAAGGGAAAAAAATGGACAGCGTGGTTTGGCGACCCCCGTGAAATGGTCGTTTGACCCCAAATGGGGTCCCGACCCACAGGTTGAGAACCACTGATCAAGACCATCCTCACCAATTCTGACAGAATATAAATTGCAAACAAACCCCACTGCTAACTAGCATTGATGGCATTATGCAACGTCTGCAAGGAAACCACCGAGCTCAGAGAGCACCAAGGACCCCTCATTTCAACCCTGAGCTGCAAATATTCTCCTTTTATCGGTATTCACATACCTGCTTCACATCTTTTTTTTTTTTAAACTGCCTTTAATTCAGTCGTTTTTTTTCATTTTCATACTTCTTGGAGGAGGAACTCCGCCTGAGGTATCCCATATATTTAGGCATTTGTGTTTATTTTTGCAGAGGCGAGCAGCCCTGTTCCTGTAGTTGTTTGGTTGGAAGGGGGCTTGTTTGTCCCTCTATGAGTCATCCCTGTGATGTGGGATGCTGGCTCAAGGGCTTGTGTGCCTTGGCAGGGAAACCTAGTTTTGGGCTGGCAAAAATGGGGCATTTTCGTGGCAAGCCAGAGTAAGTCTAAAGTAAGTTTGGCAGTTGGAGGCTTAGCCTGTGGAGCTCCCTCTGCGTGGGGGCTGCTAAACCATGATTTGTGGTTTAGCTGGGCTGGAGCCAAGTCCTTGGGGTACTAGGCAGCCTGTTTCCGGGCACTGGAGGCTCGCTCCTCCGAGACTGGCAAAGCCAAGCCCGCGCAGGATTTGCACGGGTGACTGGGACGCTGCGGGGCTCAGAGGATCGCCTTGCAAGGGCTCCGAGGAGGGCGTGCGTGCCGGTCCCGGGAAGAGCCGCGTCTCCGGCGCCGCGCGAGGTTTGTTTTGACAGCCGGGTTCCTCCTCTCTCCCCCCCCCCCGTTCCGGATCATGACTCCAGGCCCCGCCCCCGCAGCCAATAGAAACGCGGCTCGAGCCAAACAGCGGCGGGCCGGCCCCGCCCCTCCCCCCGCGGCCGAGCCAATCGACTTCTCCCGAGTAAGGCCCCTCCCCTTAGCGCGCTTCTCTCCCGGGCCTCGCCCCTCCCTTCCCAGGGTTTGTTGTGGTCCGGCCTCGTGCCGCCGGCTGCCCTCGTCACGCGGCTGGGCCTCGCGCCGCCCTCTCCGCGCCCCTTCCCGCTCGTCTCCCTCCCTCCCTCGGCCTCGTGCTTCCTCCCCCCCGCCCACTCGTCCGCGCGCCCTTGCAAGGCGGGCTTCTGATTGGCTGGCGGGAAGGCGCCCAGCTCTCTCATTCCCCCCTTCCCCCCCCGCTCAGTTTTCCCTCGTTATTTTCTCCTCAGGCCTTTTTTTTTTTTTTGATCCGCGGCTAAGGCGAAAAAACGTCCGGCTTTTCGAAGGGATAAAACTGGCCTCGGCGGGTTCTCGAGGTCAGCCTCGCTGTAGGACGCTGAGAACCAGCCTCCCTCGACCCCGCAGGCCTCTATAGGAAGGCTGGACTCACGGACCCATAAGCCGCAGCCCTTCAGGGCGCCAGGGGGAAGGAAGAGAGCTTCCCTGAGCGCCCCCCCCCCGTCAGAACACTTTCTTTTCTGTTTACAGTTGTAGGACAGGTTGCAATTCCACAGGGAAAGGGTGTGTAAGGCTGGCTGGTGATGTTGGGGCAGCTGCACCTGCCAGACTTCTGCCTGTCGAGGAGAGGCAGCTAATACTAGAGCAGTGGTTCTCAACCTTTTTAATGCCGCGACCCCCAACTGGTCCTAAGTCGAGGACTACTCAACGGTGCAGCACCGTTTGCAGAATGGGACTTTTGGCGGGCTCAGCAGGGCAGAGACAGCCTGGACCATTCCTATTGGCTTTTGAAAGCCAATGGAATTAGATTCTATTCAAGAGAGTCTATTCTATTGGCTTTCAAAAGCCAATAGAATAAAAGGGAGTAGCACAGCTAAGGAAAAGGGGGGAAAAATATGGCGGACTGCGTTGTTTGGCGACCGCCATGAAATGGTTGTTCGACCCCAAATGGGGTCCCGACCCACAGGTTGAGAACCACTGTACTAGAGTTTTAGTACAGGTAATCCTCAACGTATACCAGAGTTGAGCCCAAAATTTTATGTTGTTAAGTTGAGGCATTTGTTAAGTGAGGGTTGCCCCATTTTATGACCTTCCTTGCCACAGTTGTTCAATGAATCACTCCAGTTGATAAGTTGGTAACCTGGTTGTGAAGTGAATCTGGCTTCCCCATTGACTTTGCTTGTCAGAAGGTTGCAAAAAGTGATCACACAACCCCAGGACGTTGCAACGGTCATAAATAGGAACCAATTGCCAAGCGTCTGCATTTTGGTCACGTGATCATGGTGATGTTGCAAGCGTAACTGAAAAAATGGTCACAAGTCACTTTTTTCAGTGCTGTTTTAACTTTGGATGGTCACTAAATGAACTGTTGTAAGTTGAGGACTGCCTGTACAGTTTTTAATAATAATAATAATTTAATCTGGGTAGTTGCACGGTTAAAACTATTTTTTTTGGTTGTTTGGTAACTTGCAAGCTGCCCAGAGACACCTTGTTGGGGGGAGATGGGCAGCACTAAAAATGGAATAATATGACTTGGGAACTAGGGGGCACCACAGCCAGGTGACTTTGGCTGATCTTGAAAAAGTTAAAACAAGAGTTGAGCTTGTGTTGCATTGGGATGGAAGACCACTTGGAGATCATGGTGGGGGTGGGGAGGGGGAAGGCCTTCCTGGATCAAGGCAGCAAAGCAGTTTGTGTTGTTTGTAAGAAAGCATCATGGATGTATCCAGAAGGTCACCAGGAGAAAGAGTTTGTTGCCCAGCCAGGTGGCAAGGCCTCCCAACTTCGGTTAACACTAAGCAGGTTAGGAGAGTGTTACTATCAAGAGGATAGGCTGTCAAAACCCCTGGGCTATAGTCTAGCATGTGAAGTCAGAACATGTTCTGGAAGAAGACAGTGACAAATAACTTCCGTTGTTTTTTCAAGAAAACATTGTGGGTGTAAATAGGAAGTCAGCAGGAGTTCCTCAATTCAGGAGAGCTATTAAAATACCTTGGTTTACCTGGAGGAAATGTAACTTTTTTGCATGTGCAATATGAGTGCCTCACTGACAACACTGGGAGTTACTAGGCAGGTTATCTCTTGTAGGAGGACCTGATGCAAAAATCCAAAGACAAGATGGCTTTAAGGAGATCCTTTTGCTGCCATTTCGTGATGTTTGGACGTTTGCTGTCCAGCTAATTAGCCCTTCATTTTCAAATATCCCTCACCACAACTCCAATAGGTTCCTTACAGCAGAAAATATAAAAACATGTTACTTTTGCTACTAGGAGAAATCTAATGATTTTCAATGCATGTGCTTTTTTCTCTAGACCAGGGGTGTCAAACTTGCAATGTCATGTGATGTGTCGCGACGTATCGTGACTTTTTCCCCAATGGGGTGGGGGCAGTTTTGGCGTGACGCATCCGGTCCATGGGCCGGCAGTTTGACACCCCTGCTCTAGACTGTAGGCCCGTGGTGGTGAACCTATGGCATGCATGCCACAGGTGGCACGCAGAGCCCTCTCTGTGGGCATGCGCACCGTTGCCCCAGTCCTAGGCCTTCAGCTGGGTTTTATAAAACCTTTTCGCTTTAGGCCTCCGCTGCCCTGTGCAAAAAAAAAAAAAAGAAAAAAAATGAAAAGGTTCAATCAATCAATTTCAACTTCTCACGAAAAAAAAGATCTTGCAAATTTTGATTGATTGATTGAACTTTTTAGTCCCACCCAGTCTGCCGTTACCACCACAGCCAGGCCCACTCAGTGGGCCACACCTATCCGGCACCCAATGATACATAAGTGGGTTTTGGGTTGCAGTTTGGGCACTCGGTCTCTAAAAGGTTCTCCATCACTGATATAGTTCATCTATATTGAGAAAGCTTTCGCCAAAAAGTATTTATGTTTAACAAGTGCCTGCCACAGTAAGTTTTTGCACATTACACTGAAGATGAAGGCTCTAGCTGTGGTTATTTAGAAAGCTGTCGGTGCAACCCTGTGCCTTGTAAATCACGACATCTGTTTAATTTTCTCTTTTAAAGTTTGGTTTAGTAGCCAAATAATTTCTTAAATATAGGGAAGTAAAAAACTTGATCACACAGCAGTGTCAATCACAGAAAACCAACTATGTAGATCAGCATAGATCAGACATGTCAAACTCGCGATGTCACATGATGTCACACGACGTATCAGAACTTTTTCCCCATTGCCTGCAATGGAATGGGTGCAGTTTCCTCGTGATGCGTCTGGCCCATGGGCTGGCAGTTTGACAGCCCTGGCATAGATAATACCAACTATCATTTGTATAGCAAATGATACATTTGTTAAGTATCATGTCTGAAAAGGGTTCTGTAACATCAGTAACTGACTTATTGGTTGGATTCCCGAGCAATTGCACTAAATTGGTTGCAATTTGCACTAAAACAATGCAGACTAGGGGCTCTGGGTCCTAAAGTCCATACATCTGGAGGGCACAGAGGTTGGGTCAGGATGAAAGAGCCAGGCCACAGAATGATTGAAAAGTCGCTCTCTTCTTAAAGCTAACATCTGGAGAATTCAAACATTCCTCTCCTCAGTCTTCCTGCTGAAGCAGATACTCAAACTGTAGACCTCAGTTGAGGCTTTTCAGTGTCATAGGGATGATAATCTTAGCATCGGTCTACTGTCTTGTTCCTTACATGCCAAAAATCTTCATTAATGAGTTGGGGGGGGGGGGAGAATGGAGGGGAAATGTGAGACAAGAAACTAATGCTAAACTGAAAAGTAAAAAAAAAAAATCTCCTGTTTTACCCCAGTAAAAAAAAAAATCTCCTGTTTTACCCCAGTAAAAAAAAAAATCTCCTGTTTTACCCCAATATGCTCAGAAGCTTTCCTTCTGAGCATATTAGCAATTCACTGAAGCTCCAAGGGAGATCAGGCTAGGTTCCTCTCTGCTGGTCTTCAGAAAAATTCCCAAACACTTAGTATTTCCGGGGGAATGAGGGGCATTCTCATGTTTTAAGCTGTGAGCCGTTTTATATTTTCTACTCTGTTGTTTCTGCCTGGTTTTCAACAGGATGTTTTATGGCATTTTAATGTGTGTGTGTGAGAGAGTTTATAAATGTAAATAAATACGTAGCCGTAGAAGTCCAGTGAGTTCTGTTCTGGATATATTAGATAAAGAGTTTACCATCAGTTTTGTGCAGAGAGGCTACAAAATTTTTTCTTCTTTTTCATCCACAGGGGTAAAAGTCTTCCGCAGTAGATTTCACCCTGTTATGTAGCTGTTGGTGATAAGAGTCTTATTCTGCCTTTAAAAAACAAAACAGCTGAAGTTGTTAACTTACTGGCCTGTCCTTTAAGGAAGTAGGGCAAAGCACAGAGGCCCGGTATGGGATAACTGAGAACTTAGTCATGTAAGTAGAAGGGGAATTTACCTATTAGGAATAGAATGTTCTGTGCATCTTTCTCTGCTGTTTACGCAGATGCTGTGGGCACTCCCACAGCAGAGGAAACCACAATCTTTAATGTGTTAAATTGCTTAGAAATCGACATCTTAATCCATTGGACTGAAGTGTATAAGAATAAAAGTCCAGTTCTAAAATCAGAATCATCAGTTGCACAGGGAGAAAAATTAAGAGATCTGTGGATTTATCCAAGTTGGATTAAACAATCTGTGGATCCCAACCAGGTACCGTAGAATCCTGCAGCTACGTTCCACTGAGCAGTTTTGAAAGCATCACTGGACTATGGGCAAGATTCCTCCTTGGTACCAGATGCTGTGTGGACATGCTATTAATAAGGTAAAATGAATTAGGATGATTGTGTGGTGGAAAATGTCAACAGCATATTGTGTGAGCCAGCTCTTCACATTTCGCTGTTAAAATGGTTTGGGGGAGACATGTTTTGTGAACACAGCAATTGTGTTTACTTAACTTGGATTAGCCCGTTTATGTGACCCTAATCTTACTGATTCTGTTACTCAGTGTTTCCATTAGATATCTTTAGAACTTCCTCTGTTTCCTTAGGTAATGAATGACCTTTCTTGGGATTATGCCATCCTTTTTCAAGAGGGAAATTTAAAGTTTAGAATTAGGAAGAATCTGGTAGCACCATTTCTGATTAGCACATTTGATTAAAAGGCATAAGCTTTTGTCTAAAATTCCACATGAAACTTATGCCTCTTAGTAAAAAAAATTAATCAGAAAAGTTTGTATATTTTAATAAAAACTACATATTTTAATGGAATATAATAGCTGGAAATGTTGCTGCCAGACTCCTGATTTTGTTTTCCTCTTTAGGCTACCACAGCTCTAATCAAACAGGTTTGTAGAAATACCAAAATAATAAATCATTCATTTAAAAAACCCTAAAAGGGCAGACAAGCCAAGAGATCCAAAATGGATTGGTACATTACCTAGCGATCAATGGTAGCTTAGTATCTTAGTGCCCTGTTTTTAGGTAGGAAGTGTTGAGGGAGAAAGAAGAAAGAAAACCAGAATTAATAATGGAAATAATTGATCTGCTTTATTTTTTTTTGCAGTCCCCAATGATCGTAGCTAATAGATATAGATTTGTCTCTTCTCATTTTATAATACATCAGTATTCAACCTTTGCAAAAAAAAAAAAAATGACATGTCTTTACATTTTAGACATTGCTACTTTCTTGAAAGGAAAACTGACAATAGAAGTGAAAAGGAGAGGCTAACCCAGTGCCCTGTATCTGAGATCCAGTAACATTTATTTACCATATCTGATTTTCTTATTTACCTTAGGAGTAAAGCATTTTCTGCCAAGGGTGGGTGCTTTCTTGGAGGAAACAGCAGTTTGCAAGGAACTGTTTTCATCAGAATGTGTGCCATAGATTGGGTGGGAGGTAATCTCCTCCCCATACAGTTGCCAGTTAAATGTATTCGCAGATGTAAAACCAATTTAATAAATGTATGATCACGAACCATCAAATTAAGGGGATGGGGACAATAGCTTCGTTATAGAGTCAAAATAATGCCCTCCTAACATTCTATTAACCTGTTCACTTAAGCAAATTAGATCAGTTACTGCATTCACAGGACAAGCTACGCCTCATTAATCTTAATTTTGGACTGCTTTTTAAATTTAGGGTGCTGTGAGGATCTGATTCAGAATTTAAAGCCCGTAAAGTTGGCTTAATTGAGTAACTAAAGTTAAATCCAGCAGTAGTATTTCATGTCCTGTTAAAGAATGAGTTAGTTCAAGATTTAATTGCAGCTGTCCAATTATACAGTCTGCTTAGGTCAGGGGTGTCAAAATTTGCAACATCACGTGACATGTCATGACTTTTTTTCCATTGCCAGCAATGGGGTGGGCGCAGTTTCGGCATGACGCATCTGGCCCTCAGGCCAGCAGTTTGACACCCTGGCCTAGGTCTATGGTGTGTTCTCTGTGGAGCCCCCAAGGAATCAAAAACTTGTGAGTGTACAAGTGGGGGACAATTCACTGAAGTTCTGTATGAGAGTTTTAAAAATAAATAACCAAACCAGTTCTGTATATCAGATCAATTTTGTGTGGGCTTTGCCGTGCTTACATCAAAGCCACTGTCTCCTCAAACAGACCTAGGCTCTGTGTAGAAGAGGAAGTGTGAAACTTGATTGAAATTCAGAGGGCAGGAAAAGCCAACCAGCCAACAATCCAGCGAACATCCTTTTGATTGTCAAATAACAATTTTGGTGCCAAAATCAACTTGGGCGACCAGATGCAAAGATGAACAGAACTCTTGTTCTTTTAGACTTGTTCATGCAGTCATTTTGCATGTTTCATTTGCCATGTGCGATGTGTGTATGTTAGGAAGGGGGAATTTGCTGGTACTCCTTTTTTTTCTTTTTGCAGTTCATAACTGGTAAAAAGATTTTTCTTGGCTCCCCGAGAGGCAAATGGATTGCTAGGAATATTGCTTTTCTGCTTAATAAAGATGCTTCTTTTTCATCTTTCTGCCCCTCCTCCCTTGCCCACATAGATAGGTATCCTACGCAAAGATATGTTTCTCTATAAACAGTTGCTTTATTGTTGCGTAGTGCTGTATGTGCCACTGCTGAAAAGTCCAAAGTATCTGGTGTTGCTGAACGTAGCCCAGTCTAATTAATTTATAAAGACTGAGTAATTAATTTGTAAAGTCCTTCAGCTTGCCCTCAAATCCCTTTTTTGTGAAGCTGTTCTAACCTGTCATGATTCTTTTGGAAATGCATATAAAAGAAAAACGTAGCATGCATTTGTTTTGTTTACAAAAAGACTCAACAAATAAATAAACGGGTAGTCAGGACTGCAGAAAGAATAACTGCAACCAGTCTGTCTTTTAGAGAAGACCGTGAGTCAGAAGGAAGGCTGAGTAGGGGGTTGGACTGGATGACCTCCAAGGTCCCTTCCAACTTGATGATGATGATATCTGCAGACCCCTCACATCCTGGACACAAACTGTTTCAACTCCTCCCCTCGGGATGGCGCTATAGGGCATTGAAGATGAAAAGAATTAGACCCAGGGACAGTTTTTCCCTACTCGGACCATCACTGTATTGATCACCTAATTTTCACAGTGTTGTCTAATGTCTGTGCATACTTACCCATGTAGTATGGCTGTAGTAGTACCATTATCCTTCTTATTATCTTCTTTACTACTCCGTCTTATTGAAATGATGATGATGGTGGTGATGATCATTATTTTAAGCCTTTGCATGTACGTAGAGAGCTTCTGCATCTTGGAGACAAATTCCTTGTGTGTCTAATCACACTTGGCAAAATAAAGTATTCAATTCTGTCCTGTTCTTGTGCTCTGCTCTACTCATAATCAAAAATGTAACAGATACCTCAAGAGTTGAAGCCCCTAAGGGCCAAATGTGGGGTGAAACAGCATTGTGTCAACGCTGCAAATATTGTATATTCTTGCTTTTGACAATATGCAGAATTGTCTGGTAAATATGGGGTTAATAAAGAGCAGAAGGGACGTTGGGGGTAAAGCCCGGGAAAGAAAGAGGAAGAAGACATTTGACCTTGACACTAATTGGATAGTGTGAGATATGAAGGCTAATTTAGGGAGGAAACATGCTGATAATTTAACTCAGTGTTTCTCAACCTTGATAATTTTAAGGCATGTGGACTTCAACTCCCAGAATTCCACAGCCAGCATTGCTGGCTGTGGAATTCTGGGAGTTGAAGTCCACATGTCTTAAAATTGTCAAGGTTGAGAAACACTGATTTAACTGCTCAGAGGAAGAGAACTTAGATCCTAGTATCCCTCCGTTGTGCCTGTGCCGACATTTTGTATCAATAAAAGACTTTTAGGAAAATAAATGCCTGGAAGTTCTTTGGAATGTTTCATTAGCCGGAACCACATCACATTGCTTCATGGCAATAGAGCGTGTACTTTTGGCAGTAAAGGGTTCCAAAGAGGGCATCCAGATAAGGGGTTCTGAAGCTGTTTTTGGTCATGCCTCTGGCATCTTTAAATATGAAGAGCAAGTGAACAAAGATCTCTGAAGCTTTCAGGGGAAAGTTCATTTTTTACCATATAATAGCATTTATTCTCTCTTGGTTTGCTTTGGTTAAGATTCCCATTGTGACTGCCTTTCTGTGATAGAAGTCACTGCTGATTTTCTATCTGGGAACAGCTGTTAAAGTTCTACATTCAAAATATGTCTACGTTGGCCCCTCCTGTCTTTCCAACATTGTTTCCTCTCCAGTTATGGTTGTCACACTCCATAAATCTTGGATTTATAAGTGGAATACTCAGATTCATGTGACTGCTTTGGAATGTTGAGTCAACTCTGAGTCAGCTTATTAAAAATGAGAGCAGTGGCAAAACAAACGAAGGCTATAACATACTAGGTTTGAGCATCAACTATCCTTTTTTCCTCTTGGGATGGTTGACCTAAAAGAGATAACAATAAATAATGCTAGGATCAACAGCTAGGATCAACAGTACCTAAAAGAGATAACAATAAATAATGCTAGGATCAAGATTGTTCCTTGGGAGCCAATATGAAATTTGCTACGTTTTATCTATGTGTGCTGTGTAGATCCACATACTAAATTATTAGGTTTATACTGTAGTGCAGTGGTTCTCAACCTGTGGGTCGGGACCCCATTTGGGGTCGAACGACCATTTCACGGGGGTCGCCAAACAACGCAGTCCGCCATTTTTTCCCCCTTTTCCTTAGCTGTGCTACTCCCTTTTATTCTATTGGCTTTTGAAAGCCAATAGAATAGACTCTCTTGAATAGAGTCTAATTCTATTGGCTTTCCAAAGCCAATAGGAATTGTCCAGGCTGTCTCTGCCCTGCTGAGCCCGCCAAAAGTCCCAGTCTGCAAACGGTGCTGCACCAGTTGAGTAGTCCTCGACTTACGACTGGTTGAGTAGTCCTCGACTTACGACCGGTTGGGGGGTCGCGGCATTAAAAAGGTTGAGAACCACTGCTGTAGTGTGTCACACAGAGATGGCCAATTGTACTTTATTCAAGGAATGATGGTTAAATCAAGTCTGGCCTGATGCATTGTGCAAATTCGTACTTTACAACTAGTGAGTTGCCTGAATATAATGGAAAAGAGGGTAAGATGGAAGGACATGTATTAACAGTGCTATTCTGCCTATTTTCCTTAGTATTTTTGTGACAGTCTATCACTGTTAAACTTGAATCAGTTTCTGTTTTTTCATCTTTTACCGTCCAAGAATTTCTAAGATCCCTCTCATTGATTCATTAAATAGCTTGATTCTTATATATTTCTAAGCTCTAGAATTTCCTTGTGTAGGAAGCTCATTCTTACTTCCTTAGCCTTC